CTAGGTTAGTTGAGGCACCGGGTGCCAGTCTCGGTTCCAGGTCAGGGCGTGACAATAACGCCTCGTAGTCGCAAATCATAGATAAATTCACAATATCTCATTTTCTTATATCACCACGAGAGCTTTCACAATTAATTTTAAAGAAAATATTTTTTTCGAAATAGCATCCCGTGTTCTAGCCACCCTTATCACACCGCATGATTTCTAGTAGTTCCCCTACTAGCCACGTGTATCAAGCCACCATTATCTCACCGCATGCGTTTCTACACTCAGACCTTAACCACCGCATGCGTATCAATATCACAATATATCATAATTTGCACATCAAGTGCCCAAATATTTTAATTTGCCAATATATATCAACAACAACATTTATTGTCCATAATAAAGAGCTCACGACTCAATCACAGTGTATACAAAAATATCAAAAACATATTCTAAAGGGAATAACTCAACAAAATAATATTTCTCAATTTTGAACACGTTGCCTCAATACCAAAATTTTAAAATGTCAAATACTTCATATTAATAATATTTAAATTAGGAAATCAAACCTTCAAATAATGCACAGAATAAAAGAAATAAAGTTTCAACTAAACAGGTAAGGCAATAAGCAGAAAAAGGTCACGCAAATTTAAAATATGAAAAAAATATCAATGATGATGAATATAACAGGATAAAATAATTTATGTAATATGCAACAGTGATCTACACAATTTAAAGACATAATCTTCCACATTTAGCCCGTGTACATTCTCGTCACCTCGCGTACATGACTTTCAACACATCATAAATTTTACATCAATACCAATCCTAAGGGTAATTTCCTCCACACAAGGTTAGACAAGTCGATTACCTCAAACCCCGCTCAATCAGTCACTAAGAATGCCTTTCCCACGATTTTCCGACTCCGATCGGCTCGAATTTAGTCATAATTAATTCGATTCAGTCAATACAAATTATAGGAATAAATTCCATATGAAAATATAAATTTTCCAATAAAATCCGAAATTTAACCCAAAAACATCACCTGTGGGGCCCACGTCTCGAAACCCGACAAAGTTACAAAATATAAACGCACATTCAACCACGAGTAGAAATGATCACAAGTGACTTACCTCAAGTTTTTCCGTGAATTCTCGCTCAACAATCTCCCAACTCGTGCTTGAAATGTCAAAAACTAAGAAAAACTCTTAGACACTTCGTTTAAATTCTGCCCAGGCATTTTTCGCATCTGCGAGGGCCTTCATGTTTCTGCAGTCTGGGATGCTTCTGCGGACAGCAGTCCGCTTCTGCGATGAGGCTTGGCCCTTCCCTTTTTCGCTTTTGGGATTGCAAAGCCCCATGTGCGACTACGCTTATGCGGTAAGGAGTGCGCATTTGCGGCCACTGCCCTTCCTAGCCAGGCCGCATCTGCGACCATTTTGTCTCTTTTGCGGTCGCGCATTTGCAACCATTTCCATCGCAGGTGCGATTGCACCAGAACTGAAAAATTTCCAGAATTGCTCCAAGTCCAAATTTGATTCGTTTAACCATCTGAAACTCACCTGAGGCCCCCGGGACCTCAACCAAATACACCAACATGTCCTAAACCATCATACGAACTTAGTCAAACTTCAAATCACATCAAACAACGCTCTAGAACCACGAATCATATCCTAATTCAAGCTTAACAAAAACTAACGAATTCCAACTTCTATCTTCGATGCCGAAACCTATCAAATCAATTCTGATTGACCTCAAATTTTGCACACAAGTCAAAAATGACATAACAGAGTTATTCAAACTTCCAGAATCGGATTCCGACCTCGATCTCAAAAAGTCAACTCCCCGATCAAACTTCCAAACTTAAATTTCTATTTTAGCCATTTCAAGCCTAATTTAGCTACGGACTTCAAAATAATTATCCGGGCAAGCTCCTAAATCTAAAATCACCATACGGAGCTATTGGAATCATCAAAACTCTATTCCGGAGTTGTTTACACATTAGTCAACGACTGGTCACCCTTTTCAACTTAAACTTTCAACCTTGAGACTAAGTGTCTCAATTCATTCCGAAATAGCTGCGGACACGAACCGACTATCCCGACAAGTCACATAGCAGCTATAAAGTACAAAATGAGCAGTAAATGGGGAACGAGACTACAACTCTCAAAAAGACTAATCGGGTCGTTACATACATATTCGATTGAGCTGGTAGTGAGATAAGTAAAAGTGAACAGAGAAAATAATATTTTTAGCAAATTCAATAGCAGAAAAGAAGAAAAGAATAAAGTTTTATTTAAGACAAAACACAAGCTTGTATGTACACGCGCTTTGAGATATAATGAAGGAACAAACCAAGGGACAAATTTGTAAGCTTTGTTGAGCAAAATGGCCAATACGTGCAATAAATTTGGACCGTGATCCGTGACTAATGTCCGTGGATGATTAAACTGTCTTTTTTTCGAACTTGTCAAAAACAATTCTCCCTCAATCCTTTTCTTGGAAAGAATGATAGAAAATAAAAAATGTGGGAATTTTAATTTAGTAGTACTTCCTTTGTGTCAATTGATTGGTTTAGTTTATCAGGATTTATCATCATGAAGAATTGAATTGAAAATTTTGATAGATGGACAATGAACCTAACTCAATCCCAAAAACTAGTTCATGAGGTGTGGATTGTCCAAGATCATATAAGAAAGTCTCACATCTCTTATTGGCCAATTTGGGACTCGACACTCCCGGCAAGTCGTTAAAATCAGAGGCAGACCCAGAATTCGGCAGTCGTGGGACACCATGATATTCACTATAAGTTTATCAACCGCTCATAAAGATTGGAGCATGGGTCTATGCTAGTATCTAACTATATCTTGAAGACATTTACAAGTATACATGAAGTTTTTGTCGAAGTTCTCAGGTGTCGTCGACCCCTCTACATATGGTGCGCGTCCGCCTCTAGTTAGAATGAATCTGGCTTTGATACCATGATAAAAGAGACATTCCTATCCCTTAGTGGCCAATGTGGTACTCATCAAATTTGAGTTGTTTAATAATGGTACTATACAACCCTAATTCATTTTACATGTCCTTCTCTATATTAAAACTTTGTTGCTTCTTCTCCTACTTTATACTATAGGAGATTGTTAAATCCTGAATCACACACCTTTACTTGTGAAATATTTTTAAAGAGGTATTAGCCCGTCAGAAATTATTTATATTTGGTAGCCGAAAAGTATATAAAATTTGTATAATTTATATATATATATATATATATATATATAAATTTTATATATTTTTCGACTATTATTTTTACATTGGCTATACAATATCATTTTCTCTATTTTTAACAAGTCTCGAGCTTTGGAGAATTTCCTACGTATTTCGTGTTTTTTCCAACATCTTGACAGTGATTAATGATTTTGAAAGTGGAGCTGTGAAAATAACATTTACCTAAAGCTAAGGAAATAATCAATGCAGAGAAGAAATCAACAGCGTTATTAAATGAAATTAATTTCACGATTTGGTAATGTTTGCTTCATCCTTGAAGCTGTGCGTGGACATTTAGGTGTTTTTCATTTATTTTTAAGAAGAAAGTTTCAAAATAAAAAATAAAAATATTGCTCAAATATTATAGAGATACTAATATGTAAATATTTCGTTTTGTTTCCTTCTAACACTTCTTCCGTATGAATTACTCCCTCCGTCCTAACTTAGGCAATTTTTTGCGAATTTTGAGAGTCAAATAAGTTAATTTTGCCAGTGAATTCAATACAACAACAACCCAATATAATCTCACTAGTGAGGTTTAGGGAGGGTAGTGTGTACGCAGACTTTACCCTTATCCTGGGATAGAGGGGTTGTTTCCAATAGAAATTCTACTCTCTTCCTCCAAGAACTTAGCACCTTGCTCTTGGGGTGATTCGAACTCACAACCTTTTGATTGGAAGTGGAGGGTGCTCACCACTAAAGCAACTCACTCTTGTCCCTGTGAATTCAAATATAAAATTTTAAAATTTATTAAAATAAAATTTACATATTTAAAAACTACGTAAAAAAGTACTATGAGATACAATAATTAATAATTCAAAATACTTAAAGGCCATATAAAAAAGTGCGGTTAAAGAAAGACTTATTTGACTCTCAAAATTTGAATACCACCGCATAAATTGGGACGGATGAAGTAAAAGTTGTGAAGGTAGATATTTCACATGACTCGATTAGTTACATGTTGCACGAACTGTGTCATAGTTTAGTCTCTTTTATAAGAAAGTTCATTTGCTTGACTTTGAGGAATTTTTGAGTGAAAGATGACACATGTCAATTAATCATTACAAAAAGAAGAAAAAAAGGATGATAAAACTACAATTGACATTTGATTGAGAGAAGTATAAATACAATTTTTTTTGCAAAATTTGGTTTTTAATGTCAAACTCAAGTAGTTCAATATGTAATTTACATCCTTTAATCTCTGACAATTGCCATAAAAATTGTTCCACAACTATATCTGGAATTTAGGCTAAAAGTCTACATCCCCTTCCTACCTTCTGCCCGACTACGACTTTTTTTTTTAATAAAAAATTACATTTTCTTTAAAAGCTCAAATGATTGTCTCGATTTGAATTTCAAGCAATATATTTTTCACAAATATAAAAATTGTGTGTGACCATTTTTTATTTGGAATGAAAGAGACCTGAATAAAACAAAAATGAATATAGATAATTCACAAGCTCTTTTTACAGTATTTGGTAAAGTTAAAAGTGCTTAAAATAAGTTAAAAACTGCTTAAAACAAGCCAAAAGCTACAAGCTGGCCAACCCAGCTTATTGTTTTTTTTTTGCTTAAAAGTTATTTCTGCTGAAAAGTCACTTTTTTTAAGTCAATCCAAACGGGCTTAGAGTGTTTAAAATTCGAACACCCTTTGCTAGTGGGCTATGCAAGGGTGTTCAAAATCTATTTTTTTTTAATCAATAACAATAATATTTTACCCTATACACATTATAATTTTTCGGCGAATGATGTTTAGTTGACCATCCTTGGTCACACAGAGCTTCGCCCCGGCAAATCCTTTTCAACATGGGCTTAAATTCAAAGTATACATTGTTAAGTAGCACACACTCTTATAACAAGTGACATTATTAAATCAAGCAGTTGAAAAGGAGTTATTAACTCTTAGTATGGTGCAATTACATGAACCTCACTTAGTAACAGTAAAGTCTTTTTCAATCTACTGGAATTTCAACTTCCATCTTCACATCAGAGCTGCCAAGAATCTGCAGGATAATAACGTTGTTGAATATCATTCCACCAAACCAAAGAAAATTAGAACTATAATGTCCAAATTCCAAGTCGAAAGTAGCTCTAGTTTACTTTTCTCACTCACTGATATGCTGATCCGATGAGACAAATCAATAGTCGCGTTACGACACTGTTGAAGACATAATTAAGTAAATAAAAGTGTTTTCTCTCTAACAGCTTAACCTTTTAGATGAAATGGTTGCATATTTCAATATGGTATCAGAGCGGACAGAGGTCTTGGGTTCGAGTCTCATTGCCACCCAATATCAATCAAAAAGAATTTTCACGTGCTTGACTCATAAAAAAAATCAAGCCTGCAACTGAGGGCGTGTTGAAGATATAATTAAGTAAATAAAATTGTATTTTCTCTAACAGCTTAAGCTTTTAGATGAGATGATTAAAACTTTAACTGACATCAATTCCAACAATTAATGATAATGTAATGATGTAAGGGACACACACAGGAGTTAAAAATGAACATGACAAACTGTGAAAAAGCTGACCATATGTAGATGTAAGAGTATTTGAGCACCTGACAAATTGTTGTGACATCGATTATTCATCAAAAACTCATAAAATAATTAGCGTCGCTATGGCGCCAATGGCCAACAGATGGAATAAAGAAATTATGGTATGTTGTGACCATTTATTAGAAAGACAAAAAGCATAAGCCGCAGTTTTAGTCATCCAAAAGTCTTTTAACTCCTAAACCAACTATATGAAAATTTTTGGATGTCCAACTGTTGGTGAAATAATGACCTGTGAATTTGGCATGTGCTCACTTTTGTAGGTATTGGATAGATATGGCAGTTTGATCAAGGATTACTTCAAGACTGCCAACAGTTATTGCCAAGAGATAGAAGAGAAGTGCTATAAGGTCGTCTAGAAAAGTTAAGCAGCGCGAGCAAAAGGGGGTGTGTAACTCTGTATGTAGTTTTCAGTACACTGCTACTTGTAACTTTCCTATTGCCAAACTATATCAAGATTATCGGCCATAACGATAAAACAATTAAGGCAGAGTTTGTCTAAATCTTTTGTTTGATCTAACATTGACCCTTGGCTAAATTCATATAGCAAATTTTATCTATGTTACTCGGACTCTCCGAAAATCTCAATAGATGGCATGTCGGATCCTCCAAAAGTAGTGCATTTTTGGAGGATCCGACACGGGTGCAACAGTTGTTTTGTAGAGTCCGCATAACATAGCCTTTTATACAAATGCATGATGCATATCTCATATTATATCCTCAGAAAGGAGAGATATTTACAAGAGGCAAGAGCAATTGGCATGTCTAGAGAATTGTTAATAAATCTGTCAAATATGCACCAGAAACATACAAAAAGAAACAGATAGTTTGAATGTCTAATGTCCAATATTTACCTTTAGGAAGTCAGATTGGACTAGTGAAGAATCCTTACTGTATCCTGCTTCCTCAAGAACACGCGTCAAAACTTGCTGCATAGACGGAAAGAAAAATGGAGTTAAACACAAGGTCACATTTCTTTTTCAGGTAACTTCATACAAGGTGGTTTCTTCAGTGATCCGCCATCAATAAATTCTCATTGACAACTTCTTAATCCGAAAAAAGACCAATAACCTAATCCAAACCATCCTAATGAATTATCTCCCAAGTACACCTATATTAGTTAAAAATCATCACCGAGAACAAAAAAGAAAAATGTGAATTATCTCCCATGTCCGGGCCAACTTGCACACATCTCGACTAATTTCACGGGATACGTGCTACCTCCCACCAGCCACAGATACCAGGTAACTCTATCTACCAACGCTTGGATAGATTGGAAGAAATCACCTAATGTTTTTTTGTCTCCGCTTGGATTTGAACCTGAAACCTCATGGTTCTCAATCCACTTCAGTGGCCACTAGGCCACACCCTTAGGTGCAAGGCAAATTGGCGTTGCTTTTATTTTGTTTACCATGGAAACTAGATATGCAATAGAACCAAGCTGATCGATCTGCCTCTTGGATTGGGTACTTACGTATACCTAAAGCAACTCATAAAACGGAGAACTGCACTTGATTCTTTTCTCAACACTGATAACATGTTGAAAGCTACACTACTCTATAGGCAATATTTGAGCTTTTTCCTCTACTCCTGCTAAATAATTACTATGGTTCCATTAGGAATGTGCAGCTCGACTAATCCATTAGGTTGTACCTCCGACCAACACAGGTACGCCCTGCCCAAATAAACGGCTCTGAAACAAATAGAAAGGTTTGTGTCACACTCACGGTGGACTGATTACCGTACATACAAGAGTCTTCCAGTTCTACTTCCAGTCATTGACCTTAAAACAACAAGAACTCAATATCGGTTGCTAATGTTTCTGCCAGTATCAAGTTCTGTTGGTCTCCATTTCACTAAACTGCAAACTATAAGCTAGTGGAAAGCCTATGCTACATCAGAAGTTTACAACTAATAAAGAGATAATAAAGCACAATCCGGAGATTGAACGACTTGAGTTCGATATTCTTAGTAGTATAATTTCCAATTCAAAGCAATTAGAAGTAAGACGCTAAGAAACTTCACTTACTTCCTGGTCACTTTCTAATTCTAATTTAGGCATCAAAATGGGAAATTTAAGGAAAAAAGGTGAAGAAGAAGAAAATTGGAGGCGTACAACGCAAACACTACCTTTCGTTGAACCTCAGACATAAATTGTCCAGTCAAATCCTGCAAGATCTCCAGCATATCATCGAACGTCACCTTTCCATTCCCATCTGAATCATAAACCCTAAAGATAACTGGAAAATAAGAAGGAACGACAGACAGATAAGAAATAATTAAACGGAAGAAAGTAGAGTTGAACGAAAAAGGAGATCGAGTATGAAAAATTGCCCTTACATTCAACCTTTTGCTGCAAGCTAGCATGAATACTAAATGCTGATAAGAATGCCACAAATTCTTTGAAATTTAACCCATCGATCATCCTGAATAGCCTCTGGAATAAGAAAAGTAAAAGAGAAAAGAATGAATAGATCGTACCCTATATTGGAAAAAAAGTTTTATTGTGGCGGACTGTGCCAAAATGTGTTTGTGACTTGTCAATGCTGAACATTAAGCAAAAAACCCAGAGAAGCAATATACTAAAAAATGAACACAGTATCAACGAGTTATTTAAATTTACACTAAACCAGCAGTTAATAGGTTCAACATTCCAAAGCAATATAGTTCTCATTAACGCTCGATGAGAACTAAAAGAAATGAGGACATTTTTTCGGAATGCAGCCCTTGTCTAACCTATCCGTTGATGAACACGTACCTTCTTTATATCCATGTTATATTTCCATTGCAAAACCTTTTATTTTCCCACTGTATCTCTATTTCATCAACGCGGAACCTATGTTACATTATCTTCTCTTTCTCCCATATATCTCTAATTTTGGTCTTGGCTGAACTTCAACCAGGTCTCGCGTTGATACCATTCACAGATGCGCAACTAACATTCAATTCTACTTGCTTCAAACAATTTGAACTTATAAACTATTCCCACATTCTGTGATTGATGGATCAAAGATTTCAAAGGCCAAACACACGAACTAGTCTACCATCTTAACTGCATTCTTGGTTGTATTTGCATGCGTTAATTCCAAAAACTATGTAAATAATATACTGAAAACAGTATTTGCATAATCATCCAGGAAAAATTGGATATGGGGTTGCATAACTATGAGGAATTACGTTCTGTGCACTTGTTTAACACTACCATGATAAATTGACCTACAACAACACGTAACTCTCCATATTAAGCCTGATATGGTGACCAGAAAAATAGAGTAATAACCTAACAGAGTAATAACCTGCTATAAACAGTCAAATTACCCCGACAGTATAAAAGAATTTACTGGTCTGTGCGTATAACTTAAAAATCATTGTAATTTGTACAAAAATCAAATGTTTTTAGCATGAACCGGCACATAAACAATGTAACCTGTGAAAGAGGATTGACAGCAAATTCAGGCACCGAAAGAAACTCTTCTCCAGAGATAAATCCACACCCTTTTCGATCCACTTGACAAAACCTTTGATACAATGAAAGTATCTCCTGCTGTGAAACTAAACCACAAAAACCACCAAGAAAAAAATGCAAAAAAAAGAAAAAGCCACAACTTTAGTAACAATTACCCTTTAAAAAATTAGCACATATGAATATATTAATTTGGAGTTTAGGGTCTATCGGAAACAGTCTCTCTACCTGCATAGACACTACCCTCCCATACCCCATTTATGGGATTATACTAGATATGTTGTTGTTGATGAGTTATAAATTAAGATAGCAATATTGCACCAAAAGTGTGGCCTAAAAATGCGTAAAAATATTCAAATTCTAATAGAGACTAAAAATGCTAGATAATTTCTTCTTATCTGCCTAAACCTTTATTACCAAAAGGTTACTTGTTACCCGAAGTGAGGTAACAAGCAGGGGCAGATGCACCATACAACTATCGGGTTCAACTGAACCAGTACTTTCGACACGGAGCATAAATTTATGTATAAAAAATCACTAAAATTATAATAAATAGCATATATAAACCCATAAGTTTAAATGCTAAGCGCATAGAACTAAAATTCTAGACCCGCCTATGGTAACAAGTACCAATGAAATAATCGACGTATGCACAAGTTGATTCAGAAACCACCGTTATTAAAAAAACATATGAGAATATTTTACAGTTGTGGTACTTACATGTGTGATTGCAGTGTTCTTGAACTTCTTCAATGTCATATTGAGTCAACATGGAAGAAGCATTGCCCATTGTAATTTGAGGAAATTGAATTATATGGTGAACAAGAAGCTTGATTTAGTAGGTGAAAAAAATGGAATTTTATGATTTTGGGAATTGGGTGAGCTGCAAATGTAACAACTAGTATGATTTTGCATTGGTTTTTCCAATGTTTCCAACTAACTCTGGAATAGGCAGAGTGCATTTAATTTTGGTTACTAATATATTACAAAAGCACCCCTGAAGTTTACTCTAATTACAAAGACTTCCCTTGCTATTTTCTAGAATTATGACAACAACCTTGATTCTAATATGTGATTGTGTAACGATCTAGTTCTAATTATGTGAGTGAACCATCAGTTAGGATTCTTATTTAATCACATAAATATTAGTATTAAATTGTGTTAAAATAAAAATTAAAGGGAAAAAATTAAATCTCTAAAAATGATGAAGGTTAGTGATGTTAAACTAGCTCAACCGAGGAATCAGGGGCGGATTTACCTTAGGTCAAGCGATGTCACGTGACACCGCTTGGTCCGAAAATGTTATTAAATATGTAAATATAATTAAAAGACATAAAACAATACGGTTAAATAACTTCAAGTGACATCATTTGAAATAAATAACTGTGTAGCTAAGTTGGTCAAGCGCCTTATTTTCTTGTTAGGTCGTTGGTTCGAAGCCTGAAATTTCATTTGTTAAATCAAATTGTTTTTGCCTCACAAGAAGTACATTATGTTGAGCAGGGGTCGAACTGTTGACCTCTAAAAAGCTAAGATAACTTTTAGTGATTCGGTTGCACTTTTCTACATTCTTGTGACACTAAATTATTTGTTCATCGTTAGTTGTTGTACTAACTATTTTTTTCTTTATCCTTCCATCTCCTTTATAGCCAATAAAATTGGTTAAGAAAAGTATATGAACTTTTAGTGATTATTAGATACTTACTTTATATAGAACACTAGTATTTAGTATTATTTCTAATGAGGCTATTTGAATACCTTTTTAAAAAACAAAATTCATCAAAAAGAATTGTCGTAATATATTTGAATTTTGTTTTGTTAAATATGATTCGAATTGTGTTCTCTTTTTATATGATGTTGTTAGTAGTGCTTTGTTTACTTGTACATTTTTAAAGTGTGACACCACTTACGAAAAATTCAGCGTACGCCACTTTCGAAAATTGTAATTTGCTTTTTATATATGTTTAATCAATTGAGATAAAATTGTATTCCTATGTCCTGGGCTCCTGGCGTTGGAGAACACAGGATAAACGTTACTTTTTGTTCTATGTTAAGTCAATTGTTTTTTAAGTAAAATGTTAATTAGTTTTAAAATTCTAAATATTAGGACTTTCTACATTGTTCAAATAAGAAAAATTTAGTTAAAAAAAATTATTAATTTTAAAATACTAAATAAGAAAATAATTAAATGACAAATTAATTTATCAAATAAATCTACTTTTAAAATATACAATGTTTGACCAAAAATATATATCTTGTTCCAAATAATTAAATTTATATAAATAAGGATCAATCTTAGCTAACAATAATATCCTTAGATGGAGTTCTTAAAGAAACAACAAATATTATGTGGATCCCGTCGGACAGTGGCAGTGGCATACAATAAATGTTCTAAAAATCAGAAGCAATAATGTAGCATTCAATAATAATGAATAACAATAAATGGCATATAAGTAAATAGAAGGAATGATTCACTCAAGAAAGGATGGAATAAGTGGATGTTCTTTCTAACAATATAAATGATAGACAATCCCTCGAATATTTGAGTTATTCTCGAATCTAGTGGAAAAGTATAGACAAGAATCTTAGTGCAAATGTGGTATTCGTATCTTAGCAAGAGAGATACAAACTAGAATATTCTCTTTAATATCCTATCTTGAAACTAGCCGTTAAAACTCTAACAAAGGTACTCGACATCACCCTCGACCCTTGTTGACTCTTCGACTTCAGCTCTTGTTGACTCTTCGACTTCGGCCCTTGTTGACTCTTCGACCACTCACTTTGCCGCTTCTTGGTCCATTTCGATAAATGACGACTTGGAACTCTTCCCTTACTACTATCTTGGCTTAAATATTCTAAAGATAGATTTTGACCCATACAGTTAGTCCCTCCGCGTATTGAGGCCGACTTCATGCGGCTTCGATGAGTGGATCTTGTTCTTAGTGGTCGAAATAATTGAGCGAGCTATGCAAGTCGTAGTAGTTGCGGCGAACTGGCAGTGTGGCCCTACGTGGGTCGTATATTTCAAATGCTTCAATTTTATCGGGCGATTTGTTGGAATTACGTTATCCACGAGTTAAGATGACGTCATTATGCCATGCGTCATTATAACGCATATTCTTGATGTGTTGCTTTGTTTTGCGTGTGACCCCTGATTGAACATGCTGCTTAAGTTTCGGTGCCAGTAATGATGAGTCGTTTTATGTTTTGGTACCAAGACCTTTATAAATAAAGGTATTTGGACGCGATTTTGAAGTTTAAGTTTTCTGTTATTTCGAAATCTCTTATTTTTCTCTTGCTCTCTTCTTGCTTCAAACTTCTCTTTTTTGTTCTAGTGATACGTATTGTCCTTAGCTTTTTTCTTATTTGATACCTCTCTTTCATATATCAAACTATGTCTAACATGCCTTCTGAGTCTCATGAGGAGAGTCATGTACCCCCTTTGGCAGTGGTGTTTCCCCTCATAAGGAGAGTATTCTTGTTGCCGTTGAGGATGGAATCTTCCCGATGGTGGAGGAGATAATTCCTCGCAACCCTGATTCCAAATCCGATTTCACCAAATTACCTGAAATCAACCATGGGGCCTTGCGGTCAGTGATGATGGTGAAGGAATTGGAAGAGCTTAAGGCTAAATTCGGCATTCCCAATCATATTAAATTAATCACGGCTGGGTGGGATACAGTGCAGGTCCACCGCCTGGGTACTGCGCCTTCTACGCCTACCCCTTTCAAGTCGGCTACACTCTCTCTCCTTCCGCTGGCGAAGGAATTATGTCTTTATTATAGCGTTTGCCAGCTCAGCTAGCGTCGTACGCTTATAAACTTATAAGGATGCTTACCAAATTTGTCGAGCTAGCCGGGGTCGAACTAACACTTTGGCATTTAATACATATGTTCGCCCCTAGATTTCATAGAGGGATGATGTTGAATATTCGCCACCGAGGAAGCAAGTGCTTGGTGGTGAAGATGGATGACAAAGCCAACTGCCAATTCCGGTTCAACTTTTTCTTTGTTAGAACCGAAGACGTAGTAGCCAACATCGACGGTTTTCCTCAGGCTTAGATTTATGCTCGTAAGTACCTAATTTCCTTGTTTGTAGGTATTTGATTTTTCTCTTGTGCTTGGTCGTGGGCTTTGACATCTTATCCTTTTCTCATGCAGCAAAGACCTCGCCTCCTCCTTCGGTCACTCATATTTCTGACTGGGTTGGTCGGCTCCTCCCTCACATCATAGGGATTAGTAAGTGGTCAGTTTTCTTCAAGAAGTTTGGCCATGCTCTTCCTTGGACGGGTAAGTTACTTCTATCATCGGTGTCTTAGTATTTTGTTTTTGTTTACCTTTGCCGACCTTTCCCTTTCCTTATGTTTTCATAGCTTCGGCAAGAGGGTCTTTGAGGAGGTCGAGAGCTCCCACACCCTCGTTCCGAAAGGGGAAAGCTACTACGACCTCGGCTCCCACCCCTTCTTTAACTATGGATGATCCAACTTTTGTCCCGGTCCCTCATATTGTTGCGTCTAAATCTATCCCGCCTTCGGACGTGGAGACCTCATCTTTTCCCTTATATGCCCTCATAAACGAGGAAGATGAATTGTTGCCTGGTGATGGTGTTTTGATGCCTTATAAGAGAAGGGTCGTGGATATCGGGGGAGAGAAGTCGATAGCTTCCGATACAGGAAACTATGGTTTTGTCCTTCGGGAGACGGCTATAGTACATATCGGGGAGAGTCCTGAGGCTAGTCATGAGGCCGTTTCTTTAGAGGATACGGATATACGACATGTGGGGGTTTTGGTCGAATGCGTGGTGAGCAGTGGCGACCCTGTTCTTCCAAGGCTCGCAAAGGCCTCGTCTTCCGGGGTTGCAAGCGTACCTCCTTCGACTAATGATAGAGGTAAGGTTGTTGCTGATAAGGATGTTATATCCTATTCCGACATGGATGTAAATGAGTTGATGATGATCGACAAGGGACCTACTCAACTTGAAGTGAGGTTGGAGGGGGGTTCGAGGACTATTACGATCCCGATAGACCCTAATATTCTCGTGGATACCGAGAAGATTATCCCCTTAATTGTCCTTCTTAGTTCTGAAGTTGAGGGTACGACCCTCAAGAATATGAATGACAGCGACCTGTCGAACAACATTGACGGCCTCGCCCTTCGAGTAAGTACATTTGCTATCAATTATTTTCCTTAAGTTTTGTCTTTTCGTAGGCCCTAACTTCATTCATTTTGTGGACGGTTGTCGTGGAAATTGAGAGTGCTAGTAGGGAGTAGATGCATAAAGATATCAATGTGAAGTTAAAGTACAAGTACTTCAAAGTCCTTGACAAGTATAGGGAGCTTCGGTGCCGACAACGCGAAAGCGGCGATGTGCGTCAATCGAGGGATAACTTTAAGGGGAGGGACGATGAGCTAGTGCGGATGGTGGGGAAGTGCAACGTCTTGGAGGGGGATGTTGAGGAGCAAGGAGGAAGAGCTCAAGCTTAGAAAGGGGGTCAAAGCCCAGTGTAGTGAACTCCAAGCTCATGTGTTTTGCAGCGAGCTCAGCTTAAGGAGTGTAAATTCAGGGCAGAGGCTCTTAGTGGCGAGGTCGTCGAGAATACGGAGGAGCTAAAGAAGGCGGAGTCCACTAGGTCAGAGGCTTTGAGGAAGACAGAGTCTCTTGAAGTGGTGATTTGGACTCTCTGCTCCGAGCGAGAAAATGACTTAGCAACAACAAGGCTTAAAGAAGAGCGACTTGATAAGAGGATCAGAAAGTTGGAGAAAAAGGTTTCTGGTCTCTACGACCAGGTTGCTGTTTTGGAGGCCAAGAAGGCCCAATTACTGGCACAGTCGTCCTCTCCCCCCACTTCAGATTTTTCCAATATTCCTCGGGAGTTGTACGGGGAGTAGATCCATGCCGAGGCTGTCATGCCCTAAACTCGAGGAGCGCAACCGG